CCCAGAGTTGAAGGGACTCACGTGCATGATGTTCACGCTCTTGTTGGAAATCGCCACATAGAGTTTGAGGATGTTGAAGTGGAAGGCGGGCGTCGGCATGCGGTGGTGGCGGCTCCACTTGTTACCAGCACTCACCAGGAGCCCGTCCCCTACCAGGGCAGCCAAGGTTAGTGGTCAGGGGCAGCCCCCTCCCCTATCCCTAAGGGATATCCCTGGCCCCATTCACCTGCAATTACTCACCCATCCAGGGCTTCAGGAAGCCATAGAAAAGCATATCCTTGGGTGCGTCAGCAGCTGACATGATTGAGAACCATCAGGGGTCAGGGAGAGGGGTGAAAAAAGGACTTCGAGCATGGAGGAATGCTCCAAGCCATGGGTGTGAACTTCCGCCCTCCCCACCCAGCACAGCAGAAAGATGGAGGAGGGAAGGAGAGACGGGACCAGGCTGCAGCGGCAGAGTAGAGCAATAACCCAGCATGCCCCGGCACATCACGACAGGACTCCTGCATGCTCCAGCGTGTTCTCCAACACCTGCGAATAGCTCAGCGCTCTACTGAATGGCTTTACCGGGACCCAGGACACCCTGTCTGCCTCCAGCACGCTCTGCTCTCTTCTGACATGGATCTGGGACCTGGGATGTTGCCTTGACATTTGTTAGCGTTCCCTGATGTGGCCAAAACACACGAGACAAAACATGCTAAAAGACACAACATGCTCTGCCATGGACCTAGATGATCTGATATGACCTAAAAGACACAACATGTGCCTAAAAGACACAACATGCTCTGCCATGGCCCTGAGATGATCTGATATGACCTCTGTGTACCCCTATGACTGGTCCCAGATAACATTTGAGTATGATGACATTAATACCCTAAACATGGCCCAGGTGTAACCAAGACCAATCTTCAGGCATAATTCACATCAACCCTAAGACCTAAGTCTATTAAGACACAAATAATATCTCAGACAGTTCTCAAACAGACCCTGGGTCCTAAATCTTGGACAAGTACCAAACGTGGCCAAGACATGGGAAACAGAAAGACAATGTCACAATACATCTCAGACAAGAGCCAAAAATGCTCTGACAGGCCCCAAATGTCCTCAGCCACAGCTGAGGCCCACACATGCTGACTTCTCCATATGATCCCAGGTGGAAGCATATACTAGATACAATCAAGTATAATGTAGAAAGCATAGGCTTTCTATGGGACCCTTGGGGGAAAGGCGGGCTTTCTGATTGGAACTGGGCTTCTGAGACTCATCATTGACACCATAAGGAAAGGCAAAGTGACATAGAGAATGGTAAAACCGAAAGACACAGATTCCCAGTGATGTGGATTGATGGACACCTGGATCCAACTATGCCTGAAGACCACTACCCGGACTTTAGAGCCCACTGATTCACTTCATTTGCTTAGACCACATGGGTTTGAGTTTCCATCACTCACAACTGAAAGAGACTTCAGCAGCCAGACAGATCTGAGGACCTGCCCAGAGTCACTCAGCGTTTTGAGGTTAGTCATAGTTTCTTGGGATGCTGCCCCTGCCCCTGCTTAGCTTGGCCTGTCCAGGGACAAGATGAGCAGAGGTAAAGAAAGGGCCTCGGGCTGGGGTGGGATCTCCCATTGGAGGTTCTTGTGGCCTGGAGCAGGAGAGGAATCAATAGGGTGGATGAGTGACAGGATGTGGTAGAAGGAATAAACTCACCAGAGATGGACATCACATAAATAGCAGCCCATATTCTCCACCAGCCTGAAATCCCCGTCGTGCTGTAGGCTTAGGGACAGACGAGGTTGCTGCCAGGCCTGACGGGGGGCCTGGATACTAATCATCACACTTCCCCTTGCTTTAAAACCTTTTACTCATTTTTCCAGCAACTCCTCCTCCAGGAAGCCTTCCAGCCTGCCCCAGCAAACACCTTGCTCTCTGGGTTGCCACACCCATCTCCTTCTCTCAACTCCTGACTCCACGAAGTTTGAGATGTCTCTGTCCACATCCACTTCCTCAAGCATGGGGTTTCCTCGAGGACAGGGCCCTAAACTGAGGCTTCTTGGGGCCCCAGTGGTGCCCAGAACACAAAGACAGGGACAGATGGCAGTGGAGGGAGGAGACGCTGAGATGGGGCTTGGTGAATACATGAAGGAAAGAGGAACATGGCTGAGAGACAAGCAGGAAGAGGGGCCTGGGTCCCACAGGGGCCACACCGAAGCTTGGAGGGGGAGAGGCTAGAAGGCCTCCCATGTTTCCCAGCGCCCACCACAAGCTCTGCATGGGTACCTGAGGCACTGGTGATAGCCTGGACGATGTCAGGGTGGCATAAAGTGAGGAGGGGGAAGGTAGGACCCAGCCACAACTTAAAGCCCTGGGGATAGGTGGTCACCAGCTGGATGAGCTTCTTCACGCCCTCTTCTGTGGGAGGGGCCTGAAAGCAAGGCAGAGGCCGTCAGCCCTTGTGATGGTTAATTCTAGGTGTCCTGAATTAACCATGAATTCCACATGACTGAGCTAAGGGATGCCAGATCAAACATGCTGGCAAAACGTTATTCCTGGATGCGTCTGTCAGTGTATTTTCAGAAGAGATTATCATTTGAATAGGTAAACTGAGGAAGGAAGATCCGCCTCCCCAAGGGGGGTGGGTGTCCTCCAATCCTTCGATGGTGCAGATACAAGAAAGAGGCAGAGGAAAGGGTGAATTTGTGCTGTCTTCCGGAGCTGGCTCATCCATCCATTCCCGTCCTTGGACATGAGAACTCCAGGTTCTAGGCCTTTTTGGACTCAGGCTGAATTTACACCACCAGAGTTCCTGGTTTCTGGCTTGCAGATGGTATATCATGGGAATTCTTACCCTCTATCATCACATTTTCCAACTCCCATAATAAGCTTACTCCCTCTCTCTCTCTCTCCCTCCCATATGTGTTTGAGAGGTAGCAGAGAAGATATCCTGTCGATTCGGTTTCTAGGGAGAACCTCAGCTAATGCATCTCCCCAGAGGAGCCACGGCAAGTTCCCCCGCAGCCTCCAGATGTGGTGCAGCCCCTGCCCTGAGCAGCACCTCTGGATTCGGAACAGCTGCGGGGAATCTCGGCTCACCCCTGCTCCTCTCTTGGGGCTCTCTCCAAGATCCAAAGATAATGGCGAGGCACGGTGGCTCGTGCCTGTAATCCCAACACTTTGGGAGGCCACGGTGGGTGGATCACTTGAGCTCAGGGGTTTGAGACCAGCCTGGCCAACACGGTGAAACCCCGTCTCTACTGAAAATACAAAAACTAGCCTGCTGTGGTGGGGCATGCCTGTAATCCCAGCTTCCCAACAGATACTCAGAAGGCTGAGGCACAAGAATCACTTGAACCTGGGAGGTGGATGTTGGAGTAAGCTGAGATCATGCCACTGCACTCCAGCCTGGGCAACAGAGAGACTCTGTCAAAAGAAAGAAGGAAAGAAAAGGAAAGAAGAAAGGAAGGAAGGGCAAATACCAAAGCAGAGGGAGAAGGCAAGCTGTCTGTTCAAGAGGATGTGTTTTCTCGTCTTGGAAATGGTTTCAACCTGGGAGTGTCCCATGGAAAAGTCCCCCTGCGAGGAGGATTGTGGGCAGCACTGTGACCTCAGGACGCTTCCCTGTGGCTGGTTCCCACGTCCTCTCATGTCCTGGCTGGTCCGCAGGGGCTGCTGTTCCTCCCACACTGGGGACCTTCGGTTCTCAGCAGCCCCCAGGGAACAGAAGTGACTAACTGTCCACAGTGAGCACCTCCTGCATGCCAGGCCCATGCTAGCATGACCTGGGCAGCCTCTAGTGCATCATGTACATGCCCATCCATCATGCCATTTACACATGAGCAGACCAAGGCCATGTCCCCCAAAGGGGAGAGCAGGTCTATGTCCAAATTGAGGTCTGGGGAGTCGAGGACAGCTTCTGAAAAGAGAAAGGAGTGGCCAGCTTTCGTTCAGGCCGGCAGCAGGGCTGACTGGGACATGTCAGTGAGGAAGAGCAAGGTAGGAGGAAGGTGCCTCAGGAAGAGGAGGCAGCGGGAGACGCCCACACTTCTCTTCTGGCCCAGCTGTGTCTTTGCATAGGGGAAGGCGCTCAGAGCTAACTCCTGTGGGAAAGCAGCAGCCCAGAGATGGTCAGACACAAGCAAATGGGAGCAGCCGCTGGAGAGTGGGCTCAGGAGGCCTCAAGTCAAGCAGTGGAGAAGGTGCAAATGCCAAGGGATGTTTGCTCTGTGCACCCAAAACCCCATCCCACAGGAGCCCCTCAGAGGTGTGGTCATGCAGGAAAGACAGGCCAGAAAAACGTTCACATGGGCTGGAGTGCAAGGTCAGGGAGGTTAGAAAGACTTGGGATGGCACGACAGAGGAATGAGTGAGTGAGGAGAGGAACCAGCGAGCGGGTAGGGGAATGAGTGAGCTGCCTCCCTCTCTTCTCTCTGTTCCCAGACACCAGCCACCCTCATAACCCAGCTCCCTGAGCCCTATTCCTGCCCCTCAGGAAATGCATTCACCCTGAGATCCCAGACCGTCCAGCTGCCACACTCACCAGGCCCTGGTGTCTCCAAAACCAGTTCAGTTTCAGGGGCTGTGGGAAACACTGGAGCCGGCGGCCGCGGTTGTCTTAGAAGGTGTAGGTCCAGGCCAGGACACGGGCTAGCAGCTGGGAGACCCCGACCAGCAGCAGGAGCAGCCACAGGGACGCTGCCACTGGTCCGAGGCCCAGCCAGGACAGGCTCAGTAGCGACTTCCTTCAGGGCGGACAGGATGGAGGGTGAGGTCCTAAGGTCCAGGGAAGAGTTGAGGGAGCTCAGGGGACAGTGGAGAGGGGCAGGGAGGGGCAGTGCTGGAGGCAGAGCAGGGAGGGCTCTGAGATGGGTCAACAAGAGCTGAGATCTAAAGTCCAGAAACCAGCAGCCAAGTGGCCTCCAGTTACACAGAAAGGGAAAGAGGGAGAGAGGCTGATTAGAATCCAGAAAGGCCCAGCCTGAATCACTGGGAGCTTGCCAGGGGTCCGGTTACCAGGAAATCACCAGTCTCCCCAGCCTTGGGCAGTGCCCCTCCCCATCCCAGGCCAGGACCCTCCAGCCCTGCCACCCCCAGCCTGGCACCTTCTGTCAGGAGCAGCTTGTCCCACACAGCCTCCTCTCCTCCTCTGCTGGGAGGTCTTTGCCCCTGGTCCCTGATTTAGGGAAGGCTGTGGTAGGCCAAGCTGGGCTGGGCCAGCCAATCCTCATATCCTGGGTATGTGTTCCGTGCCTGGGTAACCAGCCAAAACCTGGCATGGGTGCGTCTTTCGTGCCTGGGCAGCCAGCCAAAACCTGGCATCAGGCCAGCTGGATGCAAAGGAACCAGCTCAGGGTGACACAGCACGGGCTCCAGATCCTCAGGTCTCAGCAGTTCACACCTGGGTGGGAGGGATCCTGAAGTGCAGTCAAAGGTGACTCTGAGCCCCAAAGTGTACAGCCACCCTGCCCTTCCAAGACCAGCACATGAACTTGAGAGTTCCAGTGGCAGGTGAGCTGGGCCGGGCCAGCCCTTGTCCCAGATCATCTCCTGAGCTGCCCTCCACGTGTGGGCCAGGAGTTCGCCATGCACCATTTCTCACTGCAGACTTGGGAGATTCAGAGACAGAAGCTTCTGGCCTCTGCCTTCATGGCCTAGCAGGAGTTCAAGTCCTGCCTGCAGGCAACCCAGGGCCTGGGTCAAGACATGACAGACAGGGGCGGAAACGAAGTATCTAACTGTGCTGGGGGTGACCGGGACAGATTTTAGAGATAAAGAGCCCCACTGGGGGGAAAACCTGGAGGCTGGGCTCAGCATAGGAGAACATAGATGGGGGTGGGAGGTAAGGCTGAGAGGGGCCATGACCGATGGGGCCAGGGAGGGGAGGGCAGGGCCAGGGGTCCTGAGTGGAGTCCTTGTTCTGCCCTGTCTTTGTTCTGACTGTGGGCAGTGAGCCCCTCCTGGACTCAGGCTTCCCATCTGGGAAATGGGATGTCAGATGAGGCCTTAGAGGGGGACACAGGAGGGATCGCAGGAGAATGGGACTTAGATGGGGACAGATGAAGGATTTGAGGAGGGAGCCTGAAAAACAGGGAGCGCGGGGAAGGGGCTGGCAGCCAGCACCTTAGCTGCTGCGTGTCAGTCTCTGCTCTTTGCAAAAGACCATATGCAAAGTACTTTTACTGTGTGCTGGGTTCCATGCACACGTACATGTGCCAGGTCCTCTGTGTACATGTTGTGTACCGTGTGCCAGGAGCTCCATGTAAAGTGTGCCCACTGTGTGCTGGACACTACAGAAAATCTTGCCTCTGTGTTCTCCGTCCTCTACATAAAGTGAAATTTGTGCAGAGTAACTTATGTAAAGTGTACCTACTCTGCGCCTGCTGCTCTACAAGCATACCTACTGTGTGTCAGATGCTCTACACAGAGCATGTTTAGTGTGTGCCTGGTGATCTATGTAAAGTGTGCCAAGGGCTCCACACAAAGCGTGCCTACTGTGGGTGCTGAGTATTCTTCATAAACTGTGACTCCGTGTGTCCAGTACTCTACATAAGGCACCTACTGTGTGCCAGATGCTCTACATAAAGCGTTCTTTCCATGTGTTGAGTGCTCTGCATAAACTTAGTGCAAAGTTCTTGACATAAAAAATGCCTACTGTGTGCAAGGCACTCACCACAAGGCACTCCTACTGTGTGGCGGGGGCTCTAGATAAAGGCATGCCCACTGTGTCCTCTAGTCTAGGTGAAGTGCACCTGCTCGTGTCAGATGCTCCCCTGCATCACCATGCCCAAAGCCTTCCCACCAGCCTCCCTCAGTTCTCTAGGCCAGAGTCCTGGGATTGTTGGAGACCCGAGTGACGGCGTCCAGAGGAGCGAAGGCGTCCATTGAACACAGGAGCAAACTGAGTTAGGGAGGGCAGGCCTCTAGCCCAAGCTGCAGAGCTCACAGGAAGCCAGGTTTGTGAGAACCTCAAGCCCAGGCCTTTTCCTCTGCCATGCTGTTCGGCACCGATTCACTAGGGTCAATGCCAAATTGACACAGGGACATTGACAATGGAGGAATCTCAGGCAACGTGGTGGCCCAGAGGGGAAATATCTGGAGGCCACTGGATCAGCACCTGGCTCCTCCTTCCACACCCAGGGTGCTCCTCCCAACAGATCCACGGCTCCCCTCCTGAGCCTCCCTGGATCCTGTCCAGAATTGCCCTGTGGGGGGACTTGGGAGAGGGAGTCTTGAAGGATGGGGCTCCTAGCAGAGGTGCCAAGCACGACAGTGGGGAAGACAGTGCTCCTGACACTGGCTGGGTATTGGAGAGCCCCCAGACCTCCACTACTGCCAGCTCAATCAGCCAGGAGATTCAGGCAGCTGGCCCTACAGCCTCAGTGGAGTGGGGTGCATCCCCCAGAGTCCCCACTTCTCTGCAAGGACAGACCTCACCTGGTGGCAGTTCTGTTAGGCTCAGGGAGCAAAGCCAGAATTTGATGAATGAGGCAGGGTCCTAGGGACAAGGAAGAAAGTGTCCCCAGTGGCTAAAGGGGCTCAGCTCACTGTAGACCTCCTATGTGCCTGGGATGGACAGGCAGCCTAGAGCAGGAATGGCAGCCACCACCGTTTGCCAGCAAGAGTCATGGAACCTGCTTTAAGTCTTTTAAGTATGTTAACCACCTTGTTTTTCATTCTACAAATGAAACCTTAAGCCTGGAAGATATTTAAGTGACCATTCACAGTCACACAGCTGGTGGAGCCAGGCTGGTTACCCAGACCACCCAGCCAGCCTCACATTGTGCCCCCTCACCACTGGGCTGTGTGCCTTCACGTCTGTAAATGGGCGTTTCAGCAGCACCCGTCTCACATGGTTGTCGCAATACTTAAAACAGACAATCCATGCAAAATGCACAAGGCAGAGTAAGGGCTCAGCAAGGGCAACTCACTGCTCCTGCTGTTGCTGCGGTTGCTGTGAAAGCCAGATATGGAGTCTGACCTGGATCCGCCAGGGGGCAGAAGCATGGCCTTGCACTGTCTGGGAGAAGGGCCCTAAAGGTCCAGCCTGTCCTCACCACCTGCTCTCTTTGGCTGTGGATAATGGCTCAGGGAGCAACCTCATGCTCTCCATGAGGGAGCCTTGGCCTGAATGTAGAAAAGTTTTTGGTGTAGAACAACAGGAAAGTTTAAACTCCTGCCAGGTGCGGAGACAGACTCACAGGTGGATTTTGGGGGAGGACATCAGCTGTTCTGGGGCTGGGAACTGGACAACCCATGGAGCCCAGCCTCCCATCCAATGAAGAGGTGAGCTCTGCACAGCCCAGCTACTGCATCCCTGACAGTCTCTGCTTGAATGCTCCCCAGCATGGAGAGCTCAGCACACGCATACACATACACACACACACAACCACACACCCTATTCCTTTACAGAATATTAGAAGGTAGATATTGTATGGCAATGGGCCTCGAACTTAACCAGTCATAAAATCGATGAGGAGGGGGATTGTTTAAAATACATCTTTATGTGCACACAGGTCAAAGGAGACAAGAGCTGATGCTAAGAGAATGAGGTACAGAACAGCAGGCATGCCTGCAACATTTTCACCGAAATGAGCCGGAGAGTGCATAAATGCATGTGCTTCTATTTGTCATATTTGCACAAACTCCAGCATGAATAACTTTTATTCGTGACATGTACTTGTTTATGTATGTATAACTATTTACATGTTTATGTATTTCACTTGCAACACTTGTTCCCTCTGTGTGTACAACCGGTAATCCTCCCAGGTTTCCACTCTGTGGGAACTGCAAGGTTCCTGGTCCTTGAATCTTTGTGCTGCTGGAGTGTACGGGATGCACCTGAGCCAGAACTCCCTGCAGCCTAGGAGGCCAGGGAATCCCAGGGCAGTCACTGTCCCTGGTGCTGAAGGAGACGGATCCCCTTCCTTCCCCTGCACCCTCCTCTCACCCCCACAGCATCCTCCAGACACCTGGACATGCTGTCAGGATCCAAAGGCAGCATTTTGAAGGCCTTAGGGAGGTATCCACTGACTCCCACACCTCTACACATTTTGGCTGCTTAGAAAAAGTAGGGAAGCCCCTATGGCAAAAATTTCAATGTCCCCTCTGGTGTCCAGCATCTGCAATGGCCAGCCCTACTTCTCGTATCTTTCATGTATGAAATTTTGACATTTGAACTCACACCTGAGGTTGACCAGAAGCCCTAGATAGCTCTGAGCTTTGCACCTGTGACCTGTTGGCATGGCACTGCTTTCATGTGAGTAACTGGGATTTGGCAGCCTGATAGTGCTGATGCACTGATTTGGGGGTCACTCCACGTGAACCCACACTGAGTTCAGGGCTGTGGCATGCAGACAAATCAACAACAACCTTGGGTATGGATTTGTGTGAACCTGTGTGTCTGGCTTCATGTGTTCATTTTCTGGTGTCATCTGTCGTAACTAATAAGGGAAAGGATGGTTTTTATTGAAGAAGGCACATCCTTTGTATAACAGATAAAGTCCACCCCCTGACCTGGTGTGGCAGTACACACCTGTCATCCCAGCATTTTGGGAAGCTAAGGCTGGTGGGTTGCCTGAGCTCTGTGGTTCCACCTGGCTTTCTTCCAGCTGGCTGTTTGTAAGGGGGCACTCGCCATTGAGTCCTGCTCCAAGTTCCCATGTTGAAACACACAAGGTGTCTCCAAGGCTGGGGACAAAAGGGAGGACATGGCCCCCTCTGCACCCCCTGCAATCCCCACAGCAGCCAAGCTACTCCAAGCCTCTAGCTAGCCCATATTTTTCAGCTCTGCCCTGACCCTGTGGGGTCCTTCATTTTTGAGATAGGAACTGAGGATCTTGGGTCACTCTAATCACCCCAGAACACACCAGGTCAGCCCCGCCTCTTTCATCAGTACAACTCCGAGGAAAGTGACCACAAGGCTAGCGTGTGGTGGTGCAATCGTGGCTCACTGCAGCTTGAACTTCCGGGCTCAAACAATCCTCTCACTTTAGAGTGGGACAAACAGAGTCAGGGTCACCATCAGGTGATGAACTCCAGGGATTTAATGTTTGATCCCATTATCCTGGGGAGAAGTTAATCCAAAGGAGGTCTGGGAACAGAGAAGCACCCACCAATGGACACACCGTCACCTCGGGGTTTTCTGGTTCACTCTCTGGCCCAGTGGAGGTGAACTTTCTGATGCTGAGTCCTGTCCTAATAAGGGAGAAGATATCTACACAGTCACCTCTCCCGTCCCTGCCTGGACTCTGGATTCTAGGTTAAAGCATAATTGATGCTGAGGATTTACAATGTCTGACACACCTAGCCAAGCCTTCTGCACAGAGATACTTTGGGAGTGGAGGCTAGTGGGGTCAAAGACGAAGCACCATAAGCCCACACTCCAGCCTATTAGAGTGGATTAAAGGTCTACCCTGCCCAACTCTTGCCTCACGTGCTCCCATGGCCTGGGTGGAGGGTTGGGCCCCAGGACTATGAGGTTGTGTGGAGATGTCCAGCCCCATACCAGTCTTCAGACCCGTCTTCTGCTCGCTCTGCTCTGGACTGCCCAGATCTACACAAATACTCTCCACTTGACACAACTTTTCACAAATATTCTCCACTAGTCTTTTTGTTTGTTTGTTTGTTTTTCTTTTTCTTTTATTTTTTAAATTTATTTATTACACTTTAAGTTCTGGGGGAACATGTACAGATGGTGCAGGTTTGTTACATAGGTATGTGCCATGGCGGTGGTTTGCTGCATCCATCCCTCTGTCATCTACATTAGGTATTTCTCCTAATGCTGTCCCTCCCCAATCCCCCCAACCCCTGCTATTCCTCCCCTAGCCCTCCACCCACCAGGGCCTGGTGTGTGATGTTCCCCTCCCTGTGTCTGTGTGTTCTCATTGTTCAACACCCACTTATGAGTGAGAACATGCGGTGTTTGGTTTTCTGTTCTTGTGTCAGTTTGCTGAGAATGATAGTTTTCAGTTTCATCCATGTCGCTGCAAAGGACATGAACTCATCCTTTTCTATGACTGCATAGTATTTCATTGTGTATATGTGTCACATTATTTTTATCTGGTCTATTATTGATGGACATTTGGGTTGGTTCCAAGTCTTAAAACTGCCTCCATCAAATCTCACACATTTCCTTCCTGGCTCAGTACAGGGAGAACGTTGTCTGGATAGCTTATCAACAAATAAAATGGTAAGGGAGAGAACTCAGGCAGAGGGGCACAGAAGGGATTGAGCAGCAAGCTTCCTTCCCAAACATGATTTTCTGTCCATGGTCATGGACACTTCCTGGTCTGCTGTCAGAACATGGGATTCATGCTAGGGTGCTGGTCAGTTTAACATCCAAAGTCTCACATTTCCCTTCTAGATGGAGCTGTGGCAATTTCAACGGAGGCTGTTGTGCTTGAGAATCCTCTCCTTTAATACTGCAGGGCAAGGTCGTTCCCCAATGCTTTTATTTACTTTCATTTGCATTTTGAAATTAGGAATTTAATTCAACAAGAAAAGAGGAGAGAATCACAATTACTGAGTGGTTTCTACTTCCGAACCCTGTAATTAGAATATTTTTGTGTCATTATTGCAGTGCTGGGACTCACAGAGCTTTAAAATACTTTTTTGAGATTCCAAAGCTAGTAAGTGGTTTTGCTGGCATTCGAAATATAATGTCACTGGGTTTAAAATTGCTTTTCTTGGGCCGGACTTGTAGCTCATATCTGTAATCCAGCACCTTGGGATGTCAAGGTGGGAGGATTGGTTGAGACTGGGAGTTCCAGAATGGCCTGGGCAACAGAGGGGAATTCCAACTCTACAAAAAATTAAAGAATTAGCTGGGGCCAGGCGTGGTGGCTCACACTTGTCATCCCAGCACTTTAGGAGACTGAGGCGGGCAGATCACCTGAGCTCAGGAGTTTGAGACCATCCTTGGCAACATGGTGAAATCCCATCTTTACAAAAAATTAGCAGGACATGGTGATGCATACCTGTAGTACCAGCTACTTGGGAAACTGAGGCACAATAATCACTTGAGCCCGGGAGGCAGAGGTTGCAGTGAGCCAAGATGGCACCACTGCACTCCAGCCAGGGCTACAGAGTGAGACTCGGTCTCAAAAAAAAATAAAGAAAGAATTAAGAATTAGCCAGGTGTGGTGGTACATGCTTGTAGACCCAGCTACTCGGGAGGCTGAGGTGGGGGGTTCACTTGAGCCCAGGATTTTGAGGCCCTGACTGTGCTACTGAGCTCCAGTCTGGGTGACAGGGTGAGGCCCTGTCTCAAAAAATAATATCCACAATAAAATAAAATTAGTTTTCTTTCCTGTATGCCACTCTGCCTGACTAACCTTAACAAATAATGTCTTTAAACACCTGTACAATTTACCTAGCTATAGTTTTCATAATGTCCTTTGATCTTTATACTTACTGTGTAAATATTTTACCTGCTTATCATTTAAGTATGTGAACAACTAATATAAGCCTTATGTTTCTCATAATTTTTATCAGCTACATAATATTGGATCATATGTATATACTATCATTTACCTTTGATCTATCCAAAATATGTGAGAAAGGAGAAAGAAAAAAAAAGAGAAAGGAGAAAGAAAAGAATAAAGAAATAAAGTGTAATAGACCATCTGAATAGGCCCATAATTATTGAAAACTGATCTGTTTCCATGTCATAAAAATATTCCTAGGCTGGGTGCAGTGGCTCATGCCTATAATCTCAGCACTTTGGGAGGCTGAGGCAGGTGGATCACATGAAGTCAGGAGTTCGAGACCAGCCGGGCCAATATGGTGAAACCCAGTCTCTACTAAAAATACAAAAATTAGCCAGGCGTGGTGGTGTGCACCTGTAATCCCAGGTTCTCAGGAGGCTGAGGCAGGGAAATCACTTGAACTCAGGAGGCAGAGGTTGCAGTGAGCCAAGATTGTGCCACTGCACTCCAGCCTAGGTGACAGAGCAAAACTCTGTCACAAAAAGAAAAAAAAAAAGAAAAGCAAATATGATAGACAATCCGAACAGGCCTATAATTATTGAAAAATCTGTTTCCATGTCATAGAAATAGTTCTCTCTAGTATTTTGTTCTGACAGCTTAAATATAATAGGAGAATACTAATTTTTAAAAGAGAAATGAATCAATAATTAATTATTAAGCTTCCAGAACAGAAAGCCTCAAGCCCAGATTAGTTCACTGATAAATTCTACCAAACATATAAGAAAGAAATTATGCTAATTTCCTACTGTCTCTTTTGGAAGATGGAAGCAGAGAAAATATTTCTCAACTCTCTCTGTGAGATCAGCACTACGCTAACTACAATAGCAGCAAACACATTATCAGAAAACAAAGAAAAAAAGAAAGGGAGGAAAGAAGGAGGTAAGGGACAAATTCAGGAAGGAAGTAAAGAAGGGAAGGAGGGAAGGAGGGAGGAAGAAACGAAGAAAATAAAAGGAAATTATATTGACCAATATTTTTCATGAACACAGCTATCTCAAGAAAATATCAGCAAATTGAATCTAACAGTGTATACAAATAACTGCACACCACAACCAAACAGCATTTATCCCAGGTACACAAGACTGCTTCAACATTGACAATCAATTAATGTCAGATCATAATCATATCAACAGGCTGAAGAAAAAATTATCTAATCATAACAATAAACGCAGAAAAAGCATTATAGGATTGGAAGGGAATACTTCAACTTGATAAAGAACATGCAGGCGTGCCCTACAACTAATGTCATACTTAATGGTGAGAAACTAGCAGCTTTTCTGCTAAGATCAGCAGTAAGGCAAGGATATCAACGTTGTACTGGAAGTCATAGTTAATGCAATAAGATAAGAGGAAAAAATTAAAAATACACAGGTTGTAAAGGAAGAGACAAAACTGTCTTTGTGGCCAGGCACGTGGTGGCTCACGCCTGTAACCCCAGCACTTTGGGAGTCTGATGCAGGCAGATCACGAGGTCAAGAGATCAAGACCATCCTGGCCAATGTGGTGAAACCCCGTCTCTACTAAAAATAGAAAAATTAGCTGGGCATTGTGGCGCATGCCTGTA